TAGCTAAAGCAGGCCTGGGAGTAATCTACCATCAGGATTACTGCAGACATAAAATAGGTATCATCATTCATACAACATTTAAGTGAGACCTCCTCAGTAGTATCTTCCAATTGTAAATACCTACATAACGCAAACTCAAAACGCAATGGCTTCTTTAGCTTATAGCATTTATGCTGTTTAACTGTCCATTGAGCTCCTACGGAGAATAAATGCCAACATGTCATTGTGATTATCAGGGGGGAAAACGCGCGATAGCTTCAGTATTCGGTCATTTGGTTAAATGCAGTGTAGGTAACAATTTGATAAAAGAACGATAGGTCTTCTAAACGTCCTTGAGACCACTTCCCATTTTCCACTGCACCAAACATCTCCAGGTAATTACAAACTAGAACTTACGGAAAACATCATATGATAAGATATATTACAAGAAGGGACCAACAAGCTATTCTTGTATCAATGAAAGACTCGATTTCTGAATACATAAATTATAGATCTTCATTACAAATTTGCATTGCCCTCTTCTTACAGAAAAATAAGAGGTTGAAATTAGAAACCAACCATCAGAAAGAAGACAATTAGTGATGGCTACACAGGGACAGCAGCAATCAAATATACTAATCCTCTTTGAATTGCAAGCGAAGCAAATAACGCTGCATTGTGCACGATTGAAAATTCCAATACTCCTGGATGTTCAGAAATCAAAATTGAGTAAAGACGCAATATAATTCTAAAATTGAGCAAAGACGCAATATAATTCTTTCTTTTTCAAACAAAATCACAATTTCAAATTTTTTTGCTAAGAAATAAGGTTAAAGTTTTTGTCTCTGTAACCAAAATGAAAGTATATAATCAGCACTATGACATGTCTCCTTAGGAGAAAATGTACTCAACCTAACTAATGATACTATTACTAGATTCCTATGATACAGATACTACAACCAAAAATACATGATAGCCAAGATTGATAAATGATATACTACAATATACGTGTCAGATAATGAAATCGCTACTCTTTGTTCCCGGGACCCTCAATCCCTTCTCATAACGTATACGTAGCAAATTAGGGATACACCTCTCAGAAGCAAATACCATTAAAGTACCATCCTGACCAATGAATACTTCCAAAGCACTGGACTTTCAGACATCAAATTGAGCTAAAATACGGTGCAATTCTTTCTTCAACTTGCCTACTCTTACTAAATCCATTGAATGCAGCCATTGTCGGTTTTGCCAAATGAATGTGCATAATCAACAGTATAAAATGAAGATATCATAATCAACTATGAAAACAATATGAAATTCCGATATTTCAGATATCGTAATCAAAAGCTTAACTGTGTAACAGGTAAATGTTTTTATTCCTCTTACTTGGGCAATCAGCTTACATTGGTCATGTACACTACCAAAAAACAGAATTTTTTTTAAAATAAATCTTTAATGTCAAATAACAAGCGCTTACTCATTTTCACAATTTTTACCGGAAAAATGTTTTTAGCTTCCACATAAAAATGAAGAACTTATTTCTCTAATGATTCACAGGTAAATATGCTACGTACACTAGCTATCACAGATAACATCGTGCCAAAATCAATACCATTTACAGGCTTAATCTTAGTTCCAATCCCTAGTGACACTAGGAAAACCAACATTTAGTGAAAAGTATTATATTAATTAGAAAATTAATAATCAAGCCCCAATTTCAACAAAATCGCAAAACTAAAAAAAAAATGGCCGCAACCTGTAGAGATTCTCACTGGGTGAAGGCGCGATCGGTTCCGATCGGATCCTGGAATCGTTTCTGGTCCTCAAAAGATTTCGAATTATCTTTTATAAATCGGAAATCATCGCGTAATCGGTTTGGATTGGACCACGGAATCGTCTCTGGTCCTCAAAAGATTTCGAATTATTTTTTAGGGATGAGAAGAGGGAAAACAGTTACATAATATCTATTATACTCATTTTTTTTTTTGATAGAATTATACCCTTATTTTTATTTTCGGGAAAATATTGGTTTTAACGATAGCTATAGAAGGCATATACTCTCCACTTCCTCTCTGATAATATCTGAATACATACGAATAGAACAACAAAGGTACCTCTGTTTTTTTTTCTTCCTATTTCATTATTCATTTTTGAAGCCTTTTTGTTCTTTAAATTGATTTTTATTTCATTGATCTTTTTAATTCTTTTATGCTCAATTTAGTGTATATACTTACTATATTTTTACATATGTCATGCTTCAAACGTCTTTTATTGTTTAATTAGATGGTGGCGAGAATGGAGGAGGTCGACATTACACAATATTACCACAGCAAAATTCACATGGCGGTGCTCACTCGGAATTACGCTTGCCTGAACGAGTTGTTGTCTGCTCTTCCTTCAACTTCTGATCCGTCAAAGATCCAGACCGAAGAAGACGCAATCGCGGGCATGGAGGCCGCCGACGCAAGATCTACTCTGGTTGACGACCGGGACGTGCCTAATCGAGACACTCCTCTTCATCTTGCCGTCAAAACGGCAGACGTCACCTCTACCTTCTTGCTCGTGGAACGCGGCGCGGATTGGAGCCTCCAGAACGAAAAAGGGTGGACCGCCCTCGAAGAGGCAATCTGTCTAAGAGAGGAGGAGATCATAAAGATGATACTCCAGCACGCCGGACAATTACAGTGGGCTAAATGGCGCGTAAGGCTGCCTCTTGTCGTTCGAGACCTGAGGTCGATAAGTGATTTCTCCGCAGAGATCACTTTCCAGTTTGAAAGCTCGGTGATCCCGTTCGTAAATAAAATCTCTCCGTCAGACACGATCAAGATATGGAAAACGGGGTCTAACTTGAGGGCGGATACTGCATTACTTGATTTCGACGTATTTAAGAGCAAACGATCAGATCACACCGTTTTGTTTCTCGGAGAAGGATCGGAGGACGGTGAGGTGTCGCCGGGCTCGCTGGTGATACTTTCGCACAAGAGCAAAACGGTGAAAAACGTCCTCAGCGGGAAGAAGGCTTGGCTATCAGAAGAAAAGATCCGACAAGAAATCTCGACGATGTTAGAGGAAAACATCTATCGACCAGGAGTGGACGTGACGAAAGCTTTCGTAGCACCGTCAAAATCTGACATAATGATCGGTCCGTGGAAGACCGACCTATATCACATGCACGATGCGACACTCAGTTTAAAATCCCGACGAGTACTTGACGCCGCAACGCAAAGAGGTGATGCGTTTTCGGAGCCGATCAGTGCTGCATCTGACGTTGATTCGGCGACTAACGAGGAGAGAGGAAAGAAAGGATGGTACGGGAATTTGAAGGAAAAGTGCAGCAAGATCAAAGGGGATGCGAACGAGCTAATGAGATGGTCTCCGTCAAAAAGTTATAAAAGGTCGACTCCGGCAAATAAAAGTAGCAATACGGAGAAAGAGAAAAGCGTGGAGAGTGAGTACACAATGAAGTTCAAGCCTGAGCTTTGGCTTACTTATAATTTCCCTCTTGAGGTTGGAGAGCTTTTACCGTTGTTCGATATCTTGGGCTATAAGATCAAGCCAATTCGGAGGTTGAAAGAAATTCTTAGCACTAAACTTCCTGCCGGGAGTTTTCCAGTCAAGGTATGTGTATCCGCAAGTGAAATCTTTGTGTGTATTAATACGTGTACAATGTAATTCAAGAGTATTGATTTTCATAAAAAGAACTGCATTTTTAATTAGCGTGCAAACTTTGAAGATCTAGCTATTTATTATCACATTTCATTAATTCTTTTTGCAGATAGCCTTTCCTATTGTTCCGTCCGTTAAAGTCGTCATCTCGTTCACAAATTTCGAATTACTACCGCCTGCAGATGAATTTTACACGCCTCCTTGTTCGCCCCAGAGAGAGAATCTCATAATTGATGATTCGAATTTGAAGCCTATAAATTATGCCCAAGAAATTCAGGACCCTTTTGTAATTCCACCGGATTATAAATGGATTTATGAGGGAGAAAAGAAAACGAAAATTCAAGAAAGCAGAAGGGCTAACGCACGACCTGAAGACGTTATTTCTGTTGGAAGTCCATAAGGTAAACACGACTTCGTCATATTTCTTAAAAAAAAAAACTTTTAGTTTTTACTAAGTTGTTCTTCGCAAGAGATTCACTGAGTAATAGTATTCACAGATTACTTAATATTTTCGCTTTTGGCTCTAGTTTCTAACTTGATTAAATCTACAAATGTTGATGCAGGATGCAATGTACCCTCAATTAATGGAGGGCAAAACTTGGAACTCAAGAATTACATCGTCGTAGAATTTTGTAAATAAGTCATTAGGGTAGTCTAAAAAGTAGGAAATATCTACCTATTAATTTCTAATGTTTCTTGTGTTACGCCATGACCTTTGTTCATTATTTGGGACATATATTTCTCCATGGTGCTTTGAACTGATAATCCTAGTATTAGAATATTAAACTGAGTTTTGCGTGTAGTTGCTAATATTCACATATTTTTCTTTTTTCTGATAAATGTTGTCGGTACGTGATGTTTTTCCCCCCACTTGACATTGAGTATTCCTGTGTGTTGTAGATCCTAAGTTTGCAAGTTAATTATAAGTTGCTCTAGTGTTTATTGGGCTCTTTATGTACAGCTTTTATATTAATGAGAAATATATGATAACAAAACATATTAGATCTTTCTAGTCAAAGGATGAGTAGATGCCCTTTTTTTGTTAACTAGTAAGGAGAGCACGTGCAAGCCTGCTGCATGAAATTGTTGTACATCATAATTTTATTCTCAATTCTTATAAGTTGTTTTCCCCTCTAATTGCTAATTAATTAGGACTAATTTCAAAACAACCGAAGAATCTGTTGGACCTAGAAAACAATTTTGATGATTTAAGGTACTAACTTCAAAGTAGCATATGAATTGGGAAACCAGAGCTAACAGCAATTTCAATAATTCTAAGGACTAACTACAAATATGAAAGTTGAGTGATTAACATAGAAAAAAAATTATTATTTGGTGGCTTATATTATTTTGGTACCTCAAGTTTGCCCACCTTTTCACTTTGTTGTCTCAAAGTATTTTTCTAACACTTTGGCACCCCTAAAGTTTTGATCATGTTTCACTTGGATACTCGATTGTGTTTCTTTAACATTTTGATACCCGATAATATTTCTTTAACACTTTTGTGCCCCAAAGTTCCAATCATGTTTCACTTTTATACACTGAATCTAGAAGTTGTTAGACTTTTCATTAAACTTATATCACGCCCTTAGTACATGATTGGCATGTGATATATTAGATTCATTCCACCAAATCGCCAAGCACGTGATAAAAAAGTGCGTGTTAGGAATTTTCTTCATCACTGAGCCGTATGAGTTTTAATGGATATTGTAGCACTCATAATATCTTAGGAATATATGACTTTCTATATTTCCTATGTTTGCCATTATAGAATGGTACACATTGAATTTCTATTAGAATCTCAATATTTGGAAGTCGCTACACATAGATCTCTCTAATTGGTATTTTATTTTGATTTGAAAGATTCAATTCAAAATATCTTAAGAATCAGCAGGTTTAATAGCAATTTCAATAGGATTCGAGGGACTAATTTCAAAATATCTTAAGAATTTAGGGTCTTAGTAGCAATTTAACTGCTTTGAAGGGCTAATTCCAAACATGAAAGGTTAAGAGACTAATATAGAGGAAAAAAACCTTCTAGTTATTTGGTGGCTTATTTTCACCTGGGTACCCCGAAGTTTCGCCACCTTTTAACTTTGATGCCTCAAAGTACTTCTTTATCACTTAAAACCCAAAATTCCAATCTTGTTACCCTTTGAGACCCTAACTATTTCTTTAACACTTTAATATCCTAAGTTTAAATCACATTTTCACTTTGATACATTGTCCATATTTCATTAAAAAAATTCTGTTAATTTTTTATCATATCCTTAGCATGTGATTAGCTTGTAATACATTTAAATCTATTTTGCCCAGCTACTAAGCATGTGATACAAACTTAACAAAACATTGAATAAGATATAGATATGCGTATGAAAATAAAATTTGATAGAAAAATTGGTCCTCTATGATTGATTTATAGTTGAGAGAAAATTTGATAGAAACATTGGTCCTCAATATTTGGTAGTCTCTACACATAGTTCTCTCTAATTGCTATTTTATTTTGATTTGAAAGATTCAATTCAAAATAACTTAAGAATGAGCGGGTCTAATAGCAATTTCAATAGGATTCGAGGGACTAATTTCAAAATATCTTAAGAATTTAGGGTCATAGTAGCAATTTAACTGCTTTGAAGGGCTAATTCCAAACATGAAACGTTAAGAGTCTAATATAGAGAGAGAAAACCCTTCTAGTTATTTGGTTGCTTATTTTCACCTAGGTACCCCGAAGTTTACCCACCTTTTAACTTTGATGTTTCAAAGTACTTCTTTACCACTTAAAACCCAAAATTCCAATCTTGTTATCCTTTGAGACCCTAATTATTTCTTTAACACTTTAATATCCTAAGTTTAAATCACATTTTCACTTTGATACCTTGTCCATACTTCATTAGAAAAATTCTGTTAAATTTTTATCGTATCTTTAGCATGTGATTAGCTTGTAATACATTAAATCTATTTTACCCAGCTACTAAGCATGTGATACAAACTTAACAAGACCAGTCCGGTTCCAAAATTGTAGAAATTAGAGTTGGTACACACCGACGTGTGGGAACCTGCGCAAGTCCCATCTGTTGGTAACTCTCTTTACTTTATCTCTTTCATTGATGATGTTACTAGAAAATTGTAGGTGTTCTTCTTGAAGCACAAGTCAGATGTTTTTATCATCTTCAAGAAGTGGCTTGCTTGTGTGGAGAATGAAACAACTAATAAACTAAAGTGTCTAAAGTCTGATAATGGAGGGGAGTATTGCAGCTAGGAGTTCAAGAACTCCTGCTCATCCTATGGGATTAGGAGATTGAAGATCGTTCCAGGCACACCTCAACACAACAGAGTGGTGGAGCGTGTTTTCGGAAAAAGTTGCCTTCATCATTGATTTCATTAAACTTCAATCGTTACAAATGAATTCAAATAACAAAGAATAAAAATTACAACTTTTCAAAATAGAACACAAGATCTGTTTTGCCGTCTCTTGCTTGCGTGGGTCTTTGGCCTAATGACGGGGACGTTGATATCCGTGGACTAACCTGGCCAATCAGATCTGGTCCGGATCAATCCGGACAGAGCTTCGTCAATCGCGAGGGGATCTAGGAACTCTGATCCAGAAAAATCGGACAGAGCTTCGTCGATCCGCGAGAGATCTAGAAGCTTTGAAGCGTCTATCTCGGCCTAAAGCGAGATATTAGCTCTTCTTAGTATTAACGCCAAGGGCTAATACTAAGAACGGACACACGGGTGATGAAGCATCTGATGAAGAATTCCCCTGAAGTGCTCGATCACTCTTCACTGCAGCAGGCTCGGCTTCGCTCTTTCTCTCCAAAATTCCGCTCTGCAAAAAAGTGAGGCCAAGCGGTCACTATTTTATAGGCAAGAGGGGTGTAGGGTGTCTAGAAAAGCCTGACCACCCCTAGGGTGTCTTCCACAATTCCGAGACACACTGCTGGGTGTCTCGAATTTTCGAGTAGAACACCTCTGGGGGCGTCTGCCGAATTCTGGCAGACCTCTGGCGGTGTCTCACACTTCTGGAGGACACCTACTGCGGCGTGCTCTCGAATTCTGGAGACACCTCTGGGGTGTCTCCACATCTGGAAGTACACCTCTGGGCGCTAGTCTCGAATTCTGGACACCTCTGGGTGTCTCCACATTCTGGAGACACCTCTGAGTCGGTGTCTCCGCAATTCTGGAGACACCCTGGGGTTGTCTCGCACATTTTGGAACACCTCTGGGGTGGTCTCCACAATTCTGGAGACACCTCTGGGTGTCTCGGATTTGGAGACACTCTCTGGGTGTCTTGGAAATTCCCGAGGACGCCTCCGTCTGAGGTGCATTTTGCTCTGCTGTCCCGCTAAATTCTTGCTCCGAACTCGGATTTTAGGTGATTCGAAGACTTGCGTTGCGAAGCCGACGAAGAGTGTCTATCAGGTTAGATCATTGGTTGGATTGCCTGTAGGATCAACGAGGGCAAGAAGGGCGTGTTTTCTTTAGTATATACATCGCAGGGTTCCGATTGCCCGTGCCTTCGCAAACATCAGCTGCACGTAGTTCGTCAGATTCACATTCACTCGTTCATACGACGTCCAATTAAAACTCCTGTGGATCGGAAGTAGCTGACGTCAATCGTCGTTCTTCTGACATTTAGCTGTTTGTGAGACCTACAGGCAATTTTCAATGCCTACAGCATACCGCCCCCCAAAAGCGTTTCCGGCCTACATTTCTTTTATAGAGAGCGCGGAACACTTTGGATGTGATTGCATCCAGCCTTCAGTCAGGCGTTAAAGGACCTGCCAGTCTTAGCTTCAACTCTTGACTCCTTCGATTTCAGTTTATTCGCATGTTTTGTACGAATAACCAAGTTCTTCCGCCGCTGCGTTTATCGCCTGTCCTGTCTCGTCGGGCAGTCTCCGATGTTTCACCACACGTGAGCTTTTGAGTTTAGGCTCGTGTCATTTGAGTTGGACTTTGCGCTATCTTTGTCACATCCTGCCTGACTTAGTGTTCAGATCGCCGGTGCTTGACTTTTTGTCGCAACGCGTTGATTAGGTGACCTAGGGTTATGCGTTTGCACCGCGCGGTTTACCGAGGGCTTTCGCAATCGTTCAAACGTTGACTTTGAGTCCCGCAGCACTGCGCTGTTGCACTGCGCGTTGGACCTAGGGTTCACGCCTGTTGACCGCCGGTTTACCGAGGTGCTTCGAATCGTCAAACGTTGACTTGACGTACGCCAACGCGTTGACTGGCGCTTGGACCTGGGGCTACGGCGATTGACCGGCGTTTACCGAGGGTTCGAATCGGTCAACCCCGTTGACACTTTCAGTCGCAACGCGTTGACTGGCGTTGACCTGCGGGCCTACGCGCTTAGACCGCGCGTATTACCCGAGTTCGAATACGATCAAACGTTGACTTTGGTTGCAACGCGTTGACTGGGCGTTGACCCTAGCGGTTACGCGTATTTGACGATGTTACACCGAGGTTTCGAATCCGTCAACGGGTTTTTGAAACTTTTGTCGCAACGCTCTTGACTGATGAGCGTTGACCTGGGGTTACGTCGTTGACCGGCGTTTACCCTGAGCCGGTTTCGAATCGCTGCAAACTTACTTTGGTCGCAACGCGTTGATGACGTCGGCGTTGCACCTGGGGCTACGCAGTTGCACCGGCGTTTACCCCGAGGGGCGTTTCGAATCGTCAAACTGTTTGACTTTTAGTCGCAACGCCGTTGAATGCGCGTTGGCCTGGGTTACGCGTTGACGGCGTTCTGACCCGAGGGTTTCGACCAACATGAGGAGAACCACGGTTATACCCGTGTGCTACTGGCGAGTTTTCCGCGGA